AAAAAGTATCTTAAAGCTATACAAAACCATTTGCTGAGCCAACAACACAACCATTCTGGTGATTCCAGATAGAACCATAAATCTGATAACCTCAAGATGTAGTCCCCACAGCAGAGGACACAAGGTTAATTGGCATGTAAAAAGAAAATAGAACTTCTATTTATATTTAACCTTTGTATTTAAAAAAAAGAAATTAAGCTTTACTAATTTAAGACTCAGATTGACATTAATGCTCTTACTCAGTCCACATATCATCGACCACAATACTGATAAGTCCCTGGAGGGATCCTGAAGGAATGCTAGGAATTCCATGACAGAAATATTGACAGTGGTTAACTGGTTTCTTCACTAGCTTTCAAATTTCAATGTATTACCGTTTACAATTGACCATCTAAGTGTATTTACAGAGTATATTTTAAGTTGTAAAATATTTACAATTCTTCCTAATGAGATGGTATGTGACCTGGAAAACCTTTTCCCATACAAAGATTTTCTGGTTATCTCAAAGGGAACTACTGTTTCTAAACTCAAAGATTAGTTATGCATTACTCTTTAAAAACAAAAGAAAATGCCCCAAATTTGCTGACCTGCTCTACGATGACAAGTGGTTGTCAGCAGTGCCTATGCAGCAGGTACTTTCAAAAATATAAGCTGTTCCTTCAAAGGAAAAGTAACATTTTAATAATCCATGAGAAAGCCTTTTCAAATGAGCATTTTGAAAACAGGTACAGTATTTGGAAACATTTTCAGTGTTTTTGTTGCCAGAAACTATTAATACTCATTAACTGTATAAAGTTGGAAATAAAAGTGTCTAATCTGTTTGAAAATATTCTTCACATAAGTTTGAGTGGACTTTTTAACCTATTCCCTTAAAATTTTTAAATTCTAACTTTCCAAATAGTTTGTAAGGACCAACTGACATCAGGGTAGAGGAAAGACTACCAGCTGAATTTTGCAAAAAACTTTGTAAAGTTGGTAGATGGAACCGAAAAATGAACATTGTAATTTAGAAAACATTGTCAACAATTTATTTCTTTAATTTGGAATAACATATTCTTATGAGGAATATTTTCACAACCATGACAGACATTAAAACAAAGTAAAAAGTAAACTGAACTTAGAGACCTCTGAATCACTGCATTACTAGGTATTAAACTTTTAAAAAATGATGAAGCATAATTGTGAATCAGTTCACTATTCTCGTTAAAGATATAATTTTATAATATATAATCTACATTAAAATATTTTTTTAATGTTCATTTATTTTTGAGAGAGACAGAGACAGAATGAGAGTGGGTTGGGGGCAGAGAGAGAGGGAGACACAGAAGCAGAAGCAGGCTCCAGGCTGTGAGCTGTCAGCACAGAGCCCGATGCAGGGCTCAAACTCAGTGAGATCATGACCTGAGCCAAAGTCAGATGCTCAACCGACTGAGCCACCCAGGCGCCCCCAAAATATTATTTTATCTTTATCTCAAACTAAGTTTTCTAATTTATGATATATAGAATATATAAATATAATAAAAGACTCATATACTTTGTAGATGAAAAATACACATATACTAATGGGCAGATACTTAAAAAGTTTTAAGGCTACCGTCCTACTTTAAATAATGATTAAAAAGTTTTTACAATGGAAATAAAGTAAAAGAAAACTTTTAAAACAAAAATGAATATTGATTATTTTAATGTTTTTAAAAACTATTCTGTAAGACAGTATTTTGTGTACTAAATGCAAACAATATGAAAATGGGCCAAGGATTATTTAAATGAACACTGACAACATGATCAAATCCCTATTGCAATGATCTGGTCACTTACAAAACAACCAGAATAATCCTGCAATCCAGTTCAGGATGTCGGTTCAGATCCTGTTTTACTCTGCCCTTTGAAAAATACATAGTGGCCTCCTAAGGGAACGTTTGGGTCCCTGTAAGGACCCAAACTCATTGAGAAATCGATTTCCTCATAAACCATCCCATGCTTTTCTAAAATGCTCCTGAGGCTTTTGTCATTGGTCACATGCCACTTGTCTGTTTCCAACATCCGACTCACTATTCTGGTTTAAGATACCCTGCAGGCTAAAAATTCAACACACCAGAAACATTTCGAAAGTGAAAAGTTTGCCTCAATATAACTAAAATGTGTGACTTCCACTAGTATTTGCAAGAAAAGAATGTGAAACATTGGCAAGATAAAACCCACAATAAACATGATGAGTATCTCTGTTTCTAATGATATGCATATTCATGAAGATAGGCCCCTACACCCTAGAAATATGAATCATGTTAAGTATTTCCGAAAATAAGCCAGTTTACACAGTGATCTTTGGGGTCCGTAACAGAAGACATGTGACAAGGAACAAAGGAGAGCCAGCGCAGATGAAAAATACCCTGAACAAGTGATTTTTCTTTGTTTTCCCAAGCAATAAAAATGTCAAGAGAAGCCAGATCCTAGTCTCCAACTCACATCAGTACAAGGAGGGACTGAAAGACTACTGGTAGTCCCTAGACTGAAGATGTGATGTGGAATGGTTGTAGGTGCCTAGAGTGACAAGCATCAACTGAAGAATCTTAGAGACGTCCAACACAACAGTGTGAAGAGGTCCACAGAGGCCGGTGCAATTCAGACTACCCACCAAGGACCTCATGGGCCAGGACACCAACATCTCCCACTCTCCATTCTAGCACCTGAGCAGGGGAGAGGGTGAAGAGAGCCAGAGTCTAAGTCAAAATATGCATTTTGTACATTCAGTGTTTGTTGATACTATTTTTTATCATTAAGCCTCTTTCTACAACATTTTCAAATGAAATTCATAGAACTGTCCATTGTTTTATAGGACATGTTTTCCCAGTTTTTCCTATAGGAATCTAATAAATACAGTGCTCCCATATATAATGGGAGTTACACATTGCAACCTAATCTTTCTTAACCAGAACAGAGGATAATATTTTATCTTGAAATAACTTATTTGAAAGCTTTAAAAAGACACAACACCCAGAAAATTAATAATCTTGGCGCAATGAAAATAAATCAACCTTCCAAAAGAAGAAAGAAGTTCTTCCAATATAGCCATCTAGTCAAACAGAAGTGCTAGAAGGAAAAAACAAACAAACAAACAAAAAACTATACCAAGATTATTGGAGGCAAGCAGCAACTGTAACAAACTGAAAAGTAAATACCTCCTTGTTTGTAGACAGACTACTTATTTGAACCATCCAGGAACACCACTGAAACAAGGCTATACAGAAATGAGCCCATAGCCACACTACAACATCCATGCAGAAAAAAATTCCACCCTGGCTGAAAGACAAAGGTAAATAGCTATATGCTATTGGCATGGAGATAATAATCAAGCTAAAGATGTTCACTGACCAGTGATTGAAATTCCTATCTTTAGAAACGCCAGAATGAATCCAAAGGGAAGTAGAAACTCAGAAAAGTTCAAAAATCATGAGAACAAAGAGTGAAAGGAAGCAAAAAGAGGACCCTAACTTCTATGAATTGCTAAGACCAACACCTTTCACTTACATAATTTGAGTCCCAATTTGGGGGTGAGGGGAGAGAAGGAAGTGAGGGCTGTGTGGAGGGGTGGCTATGTGAAGATGTACAGAAATGTGGGAGGGGATATGGGAATATGCAGGAATGTACAGAGGATACTAAGGAAGTAGGAGTCACAGGGATATGGCAGGGATATGTGACGGATTTAGAGGGAGGTGAGGAGTTATGAGGATTTCTTGGGGTTTTAGTGGGTGGGAGGGTTGAGAGATATTGTGGTAGGGAGTATGGGGATCGGAGGAGGTATAGTATAGGTAGTGGGGATGTGTGAAACCGTGGAAGATTATTTGGGGGGTGGCGGGGTATGAGGGTATGGGAGTACATGGGTTGTATATGGCAGGATATGGGAAGGCTGCACATGGGAAGCATGCAATGGGCATATGTACATGCATGTACACCAGTGTACTGCCTGTGCACTTTTTTCTCTGTATAATGGCACAAATAAGCAATCACTGATAGTATCCTTCTGCCTTAAAATTTCTTACCTTAAAATTATACTACGTATTGAACCTGAAACTAATGTAACACTGTATACTAACTCTACTGAAATTAAAACAAAATTAAAATTAAAAAATAAAGATCATGTAAGAAGGTAAAAAATGCACTACATAAAATCATCTTCACAAGAGCAAAAATTAAAATTGAAAATTTAAATTACTACATTTATAGCAATATCCCCTGTATTTTAAATAAGTTAAGCTGACCCTCCTCACAAATTCATGGACTCAAAGGTAGGACAGCCCAAGTATTCATTTAAGATCAGGAATTTTATTGTACAGCTGTTTCCAGTATTTGGCGACCTGAGAGACAGATACTGAAAATGAAATCAGGATGTCATTGCATTTCTTCTCTGAAACTTCAAAAGACAAGTAACAGTCTTATTTCCACATGTATGATCTCTAGGCCTATTCTTTACCAACCAGAGTCCCATGAAATCGAGCACAGATAGGAGCTGCAAACTGGAAAAACATACACAAGTATACATGTTTCATATCCAGGTCCCTGTATAGTTTTCTCCTTGTTCTCAAAAATTGCCCTGCCATACTTTATTGCTTTCCTACCAGATGGCAGCATGTCTGAATGTATAGCTTCTACGTTTCAACAATCATCACACTGCATAAAAATGTGCATAATCTGGTTGACCCCTCCTGGGATTTCTCACTTCATGGCTATTTTAATTGGAGCCCCGTTCTGAAGAAGAGGGTCAGACTTTAACTAAAGCAAAACGTCAGACATATTTTTAGCTTCAGCCAAATGAACAGTTATTCTGCACAACATTTTTTACCCCTCTTCCAGTTCATTTGGCAACATTCAGAACTGCATAGGAGATTTTTCTTTCCCAGTAGGATGTCTCTTGTTCACTTACCCATACAAATACAATATAATTCAAAAGTTATACATTTCCGAGCTTCTGATTTCAGAGGACTTTATCTTCATGTTCTTACCTCTGAATTGTTAAGGTGACATTTGTGAGTTCCTGAAAACCAGCCATCACTTGAACATTGGTCAATGTCCACTTTCTGAAGATTTATGTCAACTTTCATAACACCCCTTAAAAACAGAGAAAGATAAGAACAAATTAATCTGAGCCTTTACAATTTCTACCTCTGTGCTCCATCCCAGAAATCAGACAAATCAATATAAGAGTGCACTAAAAATTTTCACATCGCCCACTCACATCCAACTAAAGTGTACCAAGTGAAGATAGGCACACAGTACAACAGAAAAAAACACGTATTAGTTTTACTTAAGTCCCAAAGGCATAGACCCTGTATTGTTCACTGTTTTCAGCTCCCCATATAATGCCTGGCCCATAGAGGTGCTCAATAAATATTCAGTTGATTGACTGAATTCCTGACAGTTTTGCTCTGGACATGGCAGCGAAGTTGACTCTAAAATAACAACTGCCCCCCAGTACCCCTTCTATTAAAGTAAACCAAAACAAGGCCTTCATCTCATTTCTTTCTATCCCTATTTCCCAATGCAGGGCCAGGGATAGGGAGATGGGGAGGGGAGGATAGCATCTCTTTCCTCTGATATTCCACCACAAAGGCTTTAAGCAGCTCTTCAGGTCTCCCAGTGCTCCAAACCAGAGATTTGCACCACCTACAGAAGTGCTGATTAGCAATTTTCTTCTCTTAACTCTGGAAACAAAAACACTGCATTTCACTTAGCCATTTGAGAAAAATCACTAAGAAAGAGAGCTCACAAATTCAGAGCCAAAAGTAAAACTGCAAAGAAAGCTCCAATTTTATCTAAAATTTTTCCATTTTCTCCAACCAATCTTCTTACATTTTCATTTTGCTAAGATCCCTCTCTTCTATTTTTCACTACCATGAGCACTACTAGCAGCAGAAACATTTTTCCTACAGTGAACTGTCACCACCTGCACTTCATTAAAATAAATATTCTATGTTCTGGGCCTTAAAGCTCAAAGCTTTGTAATGTCGTTTCTCACAAACTTGAGTAAAGCAAAAACACATTTTCAAGGTCTCTTGTTCCCAATTTAAACTATTTTCATTATGGCATTATTAAATATGTACAAATATCAAGTTAGGCTCAAACTCTTCGTATCATAGTTCTTGTACCTACAAAAATACCCACAAAATTATGAAATAAATGCAAACAAAACTATAAATTCAACAAAATCTAAATTTAAAATATTAATTTAAAAACACCAATGATTACACTTGGCCAAACTAAATAGAATAGAATAGATATAGATATAGAATATAGACATATATATCTATATATATAGATATAGAATATAGACAGATATAGAATATAGAATATTCTATTCTATCACCTACTCTATCACCTATTATGATTCATTTCTCTCTTTTCTCCTTTTAAACTATTGTGAAATCTTCCCACAAAGCAGTTTAATGTCATTTGGGCTTAATTTGGGGTGAATAAGTCACTTATGTTTTGTAAGGCTGCCTCTGATCTTTCCTTATTTACCTGAAACAAAGTACTACACTAAGTAGCGCTAACATGGTCAAAAGAGATAGAAAACAGAGACACCAAACCCTCTTGCTAGTATTTGGTTATCCAGATAACCCAGAACATGTGTAAATTAATTTTTCAGAGGATCACTGAAATGAAAACCCAAAAATTATCACAGAAAACTTACAAATCCTTCACAGAAACAAACTTCAATTTGCAAAAGACACAGTTTGCAAGCTTGTGGACCATGATTCTATAAAACAAATGGCTGTTCATGTGATAAATTAATGAATTCCCAGGCAACCTAATGCCTTAGCCAGTTTCCTCCCTTGCTCTTTCAACAAATACTTATTTCTGGTATGAGCACACCACTATGAGAGATGCCACGGAGGTGAACCACATAGGCCCAAATATAATAATGTCAGAACGTTTAATGGAAAAAAGATGGTAAATTCTGGGGGATCTGGGAAGTTATCATTTGGGGTATAGAAGGTATTCCATTAACATTTGTTCATTTTCTGATTGCCTTCCTTGCAGGACTTTCACTAGAACTATGTTCCACATAGGTCATGCCAATCATGCTGGCCCACTGCACGCTCCACTTCATGCTCTTTGAAAAACTATATATTCATTTTTTTCAACCATTCAATAAGTATGTCGAGGCTTACTTTGGGCCAAAACTGTTCTTGGCTTTTGAAATGCAACAGAAAGGAGGGGAAAAAAAGTCCCTGCCTTCACGGAGCTTCACTGTAGTGTGGGTCATACTACAAAGTAAAAAGTGCGATTCCAAAAAAAGAAAAAGAAAAACTTCCAGCAAGTCAGTGGAATGATTAGGTTTTTGATTTTGTTTTTTTTAGAGTGGACAGGAGACTACAAATTCAACCAGTGACTCAAGGTATAATTACAGCAGGTTCATACCACACTCTCCATTACCAGTCAACGTCAATGACACAAAATATCCCCCTGAGCTACTACTGTCTAGTATATTTTGGTATTCTGCCACGAATGGCTTATTTGGAATACATCTCTAAGTAGTAAACTAGTAAAAACTATACATTTTTATTTGTTCCACATCTGTCAGGAATAACGAGGTCAGGTTTTCCTCAACTATCTGGCTACACTGATTTTAGTTACAAGATAGTGCACATCTTCCCACTCAGGAACATTGGCCACTTTAAGATTCCGGGAGGCTGCAATTACTCTGGTCCCTTCAAAGGGAAACTGGCTTAAGAAATAGGGATCTTAATCACTGAGAGTTTTCCCTCTTAATTCTAGGTTCATATGCAAGAACCAAAAGTCACCGCAGACCGTAAACAGCTCACGAAGCTTTCTGGGGTTTGTGCAAAACCACCAAAGGTAATGAGTCGTGCGTTTACCAGCTGGGAATTCAGTGCTGACTCATCTTCATTAGCGCCGCTGTGCTGCCTTGGTGCCTGGAGACCTACAAAGCCCTCAGGGAGGTGCCGTTGACTTCCTGCAGGGGAAGTGGAAGTTTGGGGGACTAGGTGGGAAAAGAACGCTCGCTGGGTGGGAAAAGGTATCCTGCCGAAAACCACGCAGAGGCAAAACCACCCACTAGCTACCCTGAGCCCACAGAGGGTGGGCCGGGCTAAGAGCCCAGCAGCCCCTGAGCGGTGAGTCCCCTAAGCGCATGCCTCCTGGGGGCGGAAGTACTGCTCCCACATCCGATGAGCGGGTGCCTCTGGGAAGCTCTGGGATTGTGTAAGTGGCTGCAGTTCCCTGGTGTGGGGTCTGGAAAGCAAGGGCCAAAAAAGCCAGGCGAGTGGCCTCCAGAGAAGAAAATTTTGTAAATTATATCTCCCAACACCTGGGTGTTTAGCTGAGCTGCAGACCAGCATTTTTCTCTTCTACCTGACACCTGAAATGCCACAAGCCTAAAATGGGATTCGTCCTCCACCCAAATTTGCAGTTGCCCCCATGTTCTTTTTCCATGAATGGCTTCCATCCTTCCAATTATCCGAGTCGATAATCTGTTGCGAAACCCCCAAATCAAAACAATTGCCAAGTTCCCTAGATTGTACTGCCTGAATGCTTCTTGCATCTTAACCCTTCCCTTCCTTTTCTGCTACCACTGCCTTGGTTCAGGTCTTCATCTCTCACAAGGCTAAAAACATTTTACAATAGCTTACTGATTTGGTCCTACCTCGTATTGCTCCAGGTAAAGATACTGGTTTGTAGGTGCTGATGTTTATTTTGTTTAGGGTCCTTCTTTAAGAACCACGTGGAAAATCATGAACACATGTATCACAATATGACCTTTGGCCCCATATCTTTGTGTTTTAACTGCTGGGTGGGTAGCAAGATCATTACCAGAAGCTATTTGTATACCAGGATGGCTAGCAATAACTTAGCTATACGTAAATGTAACTACAAACTGCTTTAATATAGATAAATAATCCTGAACTTCCCCTTAGCTGGTTTCCAAAATGCCCACAGCCTAGGGAAAATGTAATAGAAGCAAGTTACAGTAGTAAGAGACCCTTGCAGTTAAAATATCCTCCTTTTAAAAATTTTACAGAAAACGGTTAACCACAAAACTCATTGCTAGTGCTCATTCCAGGACATTAGAAGGTTTCCACACAAGCAAAGGGCACTAGAGCTTAAGCATCACACTGTGCTGTCCTTGCAATCTTTGAAATATGTCAATCTGGGGCACCTGGGTGGCTCAGTAGTTTAGCCACGACTTCAGTTCAGGTCATGATCTTCCCGTTCACGTGTTCAAGCCCCGTGTTGGGCTCTGTGCTGACAGCTCCTAGCCTGGAGCCTGCTTTGGATTCTGTCTCTTCCTCTCTCTCTGCCCCTCCCCCATTCACGCTGTCTCTCTGTCTCTCTCTCAAAAATAAATATTTTTAAGAAGTAAAAAAAAAATTAGCAATATGTCAATCTGGTCCTAACAATTCCCTGCTTAAAATCAATTCTTTCTCACTGTCCTAAAGAATAAAATCCAAGCTCTTCGGTATAACATTATATTCAGGCCCCTGCTACTATTAATGTTTCCATCCACTCTTCTGCATACATTCTTTGTTTCAGACAATTCACAACTACATGTGGGTCCTTAAAAATTCATGTTGTCTCAGAAAGCCATTCTTTTATACATGCCTTTATATCTGAAGTCCCTTTGCCTAAACTATGCTCTACCTATCATAACTCCTACTTGACTCCTTTCTAAAGCCTTCCATGAACTCCAAATCTGATTTAGAAGCTAATTTCCCTCTCTCTCTCTCTCTCTCAAAAAAAAAAAATAATAATTAAAAAAATTTTTAACTCTCTCTCCAAATTAAATAAACATTAAAAATTTTTTAAGAAAAAAACAAAAAACAGGGATGCCTGGATGGTTCAGTCGTTTTAGTGTCCGACTTCGGCTCAGGTCATAATCTCACAATTTGTGAGTTCCAGCCCCACGTCGGACTTTGCTGACAGCTCAGAGCCTGGAGCCTGCTTCAGATTCTATGTCTCCCTCTCTCTTTGCTCCTCCCCTGCTCATGCTCTGTCTCTCTCTCTCTCAAAAATAAATAAACATTAAAAAAATTTTTTTTAGAAGCTACTTCTCTCTTCTCCCCATAATACACTGTGGTTACCTTCTT